CGACAATAAACTGGAAAAAAAAGACATACAACTACCTACACTTACATCTGCTATTCAAACACAGTCTTGACGATATCAGAAATAATTACAATATATATATATATATATATATATATATATATATATATACACACACACATATGTGTGTGTGTGTGTGTGTGTGTATTTAGGTAACAATCTTTCTTTCATGCAAATGTCATTGAATACCAAGGATGATTTTACTCAGTTTTTATACAATTTCTTAAGCGATCTAATATTTTTTTTTCTTTTCAGATGATACATTATATAAAAAATGGATAAATTATATAAAAATTATCCGATTAAATATTTTACTGTTAAATAAGTAGTACTTTGTTGCATGTATGTATTTCTATAATGTTTTAATTTTTCAAAACACGGTCAAGATATTGATTCTTATTTTTCTTGCTTCGTTTTATATATATATATATATATATATATATATATATATTAGTTTTAAAAACAAGGAATGCATTTTAATTTTAAAAGTCTCTAGGGCCCTTTCAGCCAACATCTCATCAGGAGACAATCGTTGGATTAGCGAAAAGAATATTAACGATAATGAAGAGCAAAAAGAGGGGGAAACACACTAAAATAACAAACAAGTATATATACTTGTAACGAGGGAAGGGGAAATAATCGTGTAAATAAATTAGCGAGGGACAGTTAAAATAAAATAAAATGATGAGATGATGGCTGAAAGGGCCCTAGAGACTTTTAAAATTAAAATCAATGCATTCCTTGTTTTTAAAACTATATATAAATTTTGTACCTCCAAACATTTGTTTATATATATATATATATATGGTGGTACTCGCTTGGAAAAACCTTGGATATTTCGACTTGTAGTAGAACAAAACAGTACCCAAGGAAAAATGAGGAATAAAAAAAGAAAGAACCAAGAACATGAAACTCAGGCGAAAACAATCGTCCAAAGTTCAAGCTCAAAGCCCAAAGAAAAAAACCCTCCAAAACAAGTAAAGGTTTAAGCTATATATTCTGTTCCATTATTTTCTTTTTCGGCCAGCATTGCCGTGACGATCCGTTTAGGTGAAACCTAGATATGTTAGCCTGGCTCATTAGATTTATTTAGATACACACAGATATATATATATGGTTTTAAGGTATGCGATATTTATGGATTAAAGTGCTCGATATCAAGGATAGAGCGTATGTAAATATAAAAGTGGACAATGAAGTCAACACGCTAGGTTTTATATATATATATATATATATATATATATATATATATATATATATATATATATATATATATATGATGGATTTATTTTTAACTCGATATTATTATTACTTCGATCGTTATTATTTAGTGGATATTTGAAATTGACGCCTCATTTTTATTTGTTGCTTAAAACAGTGAGTCTTACGTCAATCAGCCTGCGTGTTCGAGAAATCTTGATAAAGAAAATTGGCTCTGCAGCAGGGATCGAACCTGCGTCCCCCTTTTGTAGGAGGGACCACCATTTGATCCAGTGTTCTTTTCCACTCTGCTAAGACGCGCATTACAGTATAGCGAGGCTCTATTTTCCCTTTTAATAATTTATAGAATCTTATTTTAAAGCATTGCTTCAGTAACTGTACAGGGAAGCGAAATCTACATCAGTTCTTATGTATTGTACTAACAGCAACGATATCCTCTTCCTTCTATGTGACCTGAGGTATCGTAGCTGTGCGCAACTTCTTGTCTCTTGTTGCTCAAAGTAATTTTTGCACTATTATCATCCTTCTTTATTCTTCTTCTAGTAGATTCTAGTAGATCATTGAAACTCTATTGAGCATTGGTTGGTAATTATTTTAAAAATAATATGAAATCATACAATAGTAAATTTCTAAATGTGTAAAAGAGATTCTGACAAGAAAGATTGTTTAGCATCACACATTAGCATTGTTTAGCATCATCTTCCGAGCAGAAGACATAGCAGTTGATTCAATGTAAACTTTACAATTTAGCGGAAAATGTTAGTCTGCAATGATGCAAGAGTCCACTCTTCTGGAGGTTAGCATCAGCCATGTTGATGAAAAGCAAAAACGTTTCTCTCAGATGATAAAAAGAAAGTGTTTTGTTTTGGAGACATTAAAATAACCAAGCCATTTATTGCCCCAGTTAACAACAGATTGTAGGTCATTTTTTTTTAGATTAGCTATCAATTTGACTTTTTTGAATCGATTAAACTTAACATTAAGACAGGAGCAAATAATTGTGCCTTCAGCCAATCTATCGAGTTGAGATCTGATGACATCAGGAAGATTGTTGATTAAATTATTATCAGAATGCTACCATTTCAGTCAAGACCAAAGTGTTGTTACATGCATAAAAAGATTAAAATTTTAACTGTATATAGATAATGTCTTTGTTATGCTAACAAAGTGTTTTCTCATGGCGTCTATATTTCAGGTAAAAAAAAAAGTCTTTTTTTAGCAAATAAACAAACAAATTAGGGTCTTTGTTTAATGAAGTATAAAATTCTATCTTGACATAAATGCAATATTTTCTTTTTTATAAATACAACTTAAAGCAAAACAAAAATTTCCGACTTTTGGAGGAATGGATGTTACTGCCAGTGAAAGACTTGCTCCAAGAAATGTATGAAAACAACAATGTAAACAACCAAGACTTACTGTAATTAAATAAAAATTATCCTCAGGCTGGAAGAAATGTGTGGAAAAAAGTTTCGGAAAATATAGCGAAATTAAAAAGACGTTTCGATAAATAAAATGCAGTTAGGTATAAAATACGATTTCAGTTTCATTGAAAAGGATAATAACTTACAAATAAATACAAAATTGGGAAAAACAAATTAATAAGGTGTTTATTTGTGTACAACGGAAAGAAACAAGTGAAAAAAATAAGGAAAAACGTCTTTTCAAAAATAGTTTGTTGCTTCAGCAGTTTAAAGTTTTTCTTATTTATTTCTGATGCTTCAGTAATAAAAGAAAAACATGGTGTATAGAAATAAATAAAACGTAGTGTACACAAATAAATAAAACGTAGTGTATAGAAATAAATAAAAAGTGTACAGAAATAAATAAAACGTAGTGTACAGAAATAAATAAAACGTAGTGTACAGAAATAAATAAAACGTAGTACAGAAATAAATAAAACAGAAATAAATAAAACTTAGTGTACAGAAATAAATAAAAACGTAGTGTATAGAAATAAATAAAACGTAGTGTATAGAAATAAATAAAACTTAGTCTACAGAAATAAATACAGAAATAAATAAAACGTAGTGTATAGAAATAAATAAAACGTAGTGTACAGAAATAAATAAAACTTAGTCTACAGAAATAAATAAAACGTAGTGTACAGAAATAAATAAAACGTAGTGTATAGAAATAAATAAAACGTAGTGTACAGAAATAAATAAAACGTAGTGTATAGAAATAAATAAAACGTAGTGTACAGAAATAAATAAAAATAAATAAAACGTAGTGTAGAAATAAATAAAACTTAGTCTACAGAAATAAATAAACAGAAATAAATGTCTACAGAAATAAATAAAACGTAGTGTACAGAAATAAATAAAACGTAGTGTATAGAAATAAATAAAACGTAGTGTATAGAAATAAATAAAAACAGAAATAAATAAAACGTAGTGTACAGAAATAAATAAAACTTAGTCTACAGAAATAAATAAAACGTAGTGTACAGAAATAAATAAAAAGTGTACAGAAATAAATAAAACGTAGTGTGAAATAAATAAAACTTAGTCTACAGAAATAAATAAAACGTAGTGTACAGAAATAAACAGAAATAAATAAAACGTAGTGTACAGAAATAAATAAAGTGTATAGAAATAAATAAAACGTAGTGTAGAAATAAATAAAACGTAGTGTACAGAAATAAATAAAACTTAGTCTACATAAATAAATAAAAAACGTAGTGTGAAATAAATAAAAATAGAAATAAATAAAACGTAGTGTACAGAAATAAATAAAACGTAGTGTATAGAAATAAATAAAACGTAGTGTACAGAAATAAATAAAAAACAGAAATAAATAAAACTTAGTCTACAGAAATAAATAAAACGTAGTGTACAGAAATAAATAAAACGTAGTGTATAGAAATAAATAAAAAAGTGTACAGAAATAAATAAAACGTAGTGTACAGAAATAAATAAAACGTAGTGTATAGAAATAAATAAAACGTAGTGTATAGAAATAAATAAAACTTAGTCTACAGAAATAAATAAAACGTAGTGTACAGAAATAAATAAAACGTAGTGTATAGAAATAAATAAAACGTAGTGTATAGAAATAAATAAAACGTAGTGTACAGAAATAAATAAAACGTAGTGTACAGAAATAAATAAAACTTAGTCTACAGAAATAAATAAAACGTAGTGTATAGAAATAAATAAAACGTAGTGTACAGAAATAAATAAAACGTAGTGTACAGAAATAAATAAAACGTAGTACAGAAATAAATAAAAAAAAATAAATAAAACGTAGTGTACAGAAATAAATAAAATAACAGAAATAAATAAAACGTGGTGTACAGAAATAAATAAAACGTAGTGTATAGAAATAAATAAAACGTAGTGTAGAAATAAATAAAACGTAGTGTACAGAAATAAATAAAAAGTGTATAGAAAAAAATAAAACGTAGTGTACAGAAATAAATAAAACATAGGGTATAGAAATGTAGCGTATAGAAATAAATAAAAAGAAATAAATAAAACGTAGTGTACAGAAATAAATAAAAAACAGAAATAAATAAAACGTAGTGTACAGAAATAAATAAAACGTAGTGTATAGAAATAAATAAAACTTAGTATACGGAAATAAATAAAACGTAGTGTATAGAAAAAAATAAAACGTAGTGTACAGAAATAAATAAAACATAGGGTATAGAAATAATAAAAGCGTAGCGTATAGAAATAAATAAAACGTAGTGTATAGAAATAAATAAAACTTAGTGTATAGAAAGATGTTATGCATGAACGCCCTCTCTGAAGATGTTATGAAAAAGAATAGAAAAAGAACAAGAAAGGAAGAAAAAAAATGACATAAAGAGTGTAAGATGGATCTTCTACTGGATCAGATCTGGAAAAAAATGGATTGTGAATGTCTTGTCAGTAAGATCAGCCATCAATGTTTTTTTACTTCTTTTTTTTCTTCTTAAAAAGGTAATGTAAGCCTCGATAGTGTAGAAAAGAAAAACAAAAGATCCTTGGAGGAATTAAGATGTACCACTAGGGACCGTTATGGCTGGCATACAAGATGAATTTCCCCGAATTTCTTGATAGTTATCTTTATTTTTATCGATACTGAAAAGTAAAGATTCAAGCAGAACAATACCTGGAGGGTCAGCTGTTCGGAGGTGGCTTATCATTTCCAGATTTAGATGTTGTCATTGTTGGTGGAGCTGTAAAAGTATGCAACTTTTGCCACAGAGTTCGCTCCCAGGGAGGTCCACTATCAAAATGTGTGGGATCTTTATCAATTCGAACAACATATTTTTTACGCACATTTTTTTTTACTGTATCTACATCATTTCTCTTTTTCATTGACTATGTATGTACCTGCTTTGTTTATGCAATTAAAAATATTGTTTGTCATTATCATTTTCGGCGATATTTTGTTGGGGGTTATTTTTTTAGGTGTTACCACTTTTTTTTTTAAGTGGGATGTTGGAAAGTCTTATAGATTTGTTTATCCGATTTTGTTTTCTTAACTGAATGTTTTCTTTTTCTAAGTCTTCCTTGTTTTATTTTTAACAGCTTACTAAAAAAAAAAAAAAAAAAAGCGTATGCTTGTACGCATTCACACGTCTGTATGGGTAACCTCCCTTAGAGAGATTGTTATCAAGATTGTCTCAAAGAGTATTCAGTTGTATAGTGAGTCTCATATTTTATGAATGTACTATTATTGAAGTCCCGCTCAAGATGAAACGAATCTTTGTAAGTAAATATTTATTTGAGGCACCTGCATAAGAATAATGGTTAGAAAGTTCCTCTTGTTGATCGCTGTTAATATACTAAGATCGATTATTTGATGTCATTCTTGTATAGAGCTGTGTCAAAGTAAGCTGACCTTTAAAGAATATCAACATACATACGCACGTCTAGTTGTAAAATAGGATAAAACCCCGCACACATGAATATAATGAAACAATTTTCATGTAAGCGGTGTACACGTATAGAACATATTTATAATCAATAAGCATCAGACAAGCACACAGGTATAATTTTTGAGGGTGGTTGCTGGAAAATGCAGCTTAGCACGTAGACAATTTTTTAACAATAAGATCCTTACTAATTAATTATTGGTGAGCAACTGTCATCAAGATTTGACAATTGTTCACCAGTATGCCATGGCTTTGCATCACATAAAACTAAGTTTGATAAGTGTTTGATGGTTTATATATAATTATATATTTGGGTAGCAATTCTTCTTTTATACATGTTTCATTAAAGATGACTGACGTTTAAGCTTTTTCATTCAATTATCTTGTGTTCGTAAAAGTGATGTCTTTTCTGGGCGTAAAGTGTGTAAAAAACTGTTCAAACGTTCTATATATCGAATCACTTTTGGCTATTCTATTAACCATTACCAGGGATGTTATTTTTAACTGAATATGTAGATTTATATATATATGTGTATCTATAGTGATGGAAATGTTTTATTATTTTATCTAGTAGTGTTCATAGTTGATATTATTGAGTAGTGAATTTTTTATTCTTTTTATTATTAGTGCTTCAATTTTCTCATGCTAGACTATTTATATATATATGGGTCAGGCCACGACCCATATATACACACAATGCATCACTAACACATATATATATTAATAGTCGATAAAAAAATCCAACACACGCGGCCTGACGATAGCGCCTAGCATGAAACTGCCTGTCGCCTGTGAGTGTTCACTTGTTCAATGTTCACTTTTATATTTATATTTACATACGCTCTATCTCTGATAATGAGCACTTTATCCCATAAATATAGCACACCTTAAAACTATATTTCTTCATATTCATATATATATATATATATATATATATATATATATATAAATGATAAAAATATAGTTTCATGGTCTGAAGATTGCGTTTAAGCATGAATAGATATATGATCTAAAACATTGTGACTCGATATGTGACGAAAATGACAATTACTATATTGTAACAACTGTGACATACGTGGTCAGAAGAATATAAGTCACCTCAAGTGCTTCATTTTGATGTTTAAATGTCGAGCTTGGGTAAGAAGAAAGATATGAACAAGTTTACTAAAAGGCTTATTTTTTCACAACTAGAAAACTCAAAGCTTTTTCCGGAACAGTACAAGAGTAGTTTGATTACATTTAGTTGTGGTCTAAAAAGAGCGAAAGTATCAAAGGTCAGCAAAGAAATATTGATGCAGAAAATTTAATATAGTCATTCTCGCAATAAACGATCCAACAGATGGGTCATTGTGGCACAAATTGCTGATAGGTTTTATGAAACTGGATTTAAGAATGGATGAATTTGTCATAACCCACAGTATATCGATATTTGTTTTGTATAGGGTTATGTGAGAGTACACATGCTTACTAAATACCAATGAACATATGAGCGCCCAAAATGAACTTTGTGGAAATATGAGAGAGTAACTGGTCCGATTACTTTCGCTTTCTCCAAAATAAGGTAGTCGGTCGGCTTCTTTTGCTTCGTTATCCAAGGAAAGCGATCGTATCAGAATGCACTTTTGGTATGCAGGAATCCCGTAGTTGAAGGTTGATTATTTGGACATTTCTTTCATCCATCTGGGATATATTTTATCACGCTCCAGCAACCTGTACATAATTGAATACCATTTACACTATTTCATATCAATACTTCTCTACAATGGTAGGTGTTAGGAATATTTAGCAATCGTCATTTCGCAGTTGTACGTATTATCAAAGTGTAGCCGACTTCAGGAGGTGGTTTAAGGATATGTCGTAATGGTATTAAAATAAAACTGACATATTTTTTTAATAAATAATTTACCTGAATATAGACATTCGAATCAACTTTATTATGAAATAACTTATTTAAAAAAAATGTTTTTATTAAAAAAATATTCAAATTCCACTGTAATTAATAATTATATTAGGTATGAAATTTGAATTGAAAATATATTGGAACAAAAGTATTTTTCAAAGAGTGAAACAATATTTAATTAAAATTATATCTAAATCTTTCGATATTTGTTATTTAGTCGTCGTCATCGTCATCGTCGTCGTGGTCACCATCTTTCACCCAAACATCAGGATCGTCATCCTCTTTCCCTAGCAGTGGCGGAGATTATAAATCAAAGAAAGTTTAACGATGCCATTCACTTGAAGTTGATTTTGGTGGATAACTCTACGAGGCTCCAAAGAAGATTGAGGTAGGCGAGATCTGGCAAACCTTGTTACACCGGTCTGTCAAGGCCCGTCTTTGTTACGTTGGTTTGGCCGTCGAGATAGTGTAGATCTTTGCCTATTCTGTCGCGTTCAGTCTGGTCTTTCCTCTCCGACCTTACTGCCATGGGTGACCCTAAATTAACCGGAACTCCAGACAACTTCACTCTTCTCATCACTGGCAAGTTATTTAGTAATCCTTTAGTTATATGATGATTTTTTTTTTTTTTTTTTTACTATAGGATAACAATCGTTCTTTGTCGTTGGACACTCAATCTTAAAATTATGATTTGATTTCGCTGATATATTTTACTAGTATTACTAACCTGCCACTTAACGAACAATTAAAAGACACCATTATTCGATATGGTTAAATCTTATATTACCTTACTGTACGACAAATTCGAATAATGAAAATAATTATAACATAAATGACCTTAAATGGAAACTGCGAAACAGCGATTGTGAATCGTAACTTTTCACAAAACTATCCAAACTGCCACACAGCATGACTTGTGTATTGATTGAATCATTGATTTGTTTTTTGTTTTTTTTTTGTTTTTTTTGTTTTTTACGGCTAATGAACCTTTTGGGGATTATTTAAAGCCAAAAAATATTTTTAGATTGTTATATATTGAAATACACTTATAAAATGCATCGGTAGAGATCATCAGTGATGTTACCGTGACTTCATTACGATTTTCGGGTAATGTAACATCAGATCCGTTTTTCCAGGTACCCCGACCTGTTAACAGGCCGCCTCTCCCCATACGCTCCGACCTTCTTCAGGTGGTTGGAATGTCGAACTGAACCCTTTATTTCACTCACTGGGGTAGATTGATCTAGTTCCACGTGCCAGTGAGCGAAATAAAGAGTTCAGTTCGACATTCCAACCACCTGAAGAAGGCCGGAATGTACAATCGCCGAAAAGTTGTCATAAATATGGCGACAAAGATGAGGACGATAGTCCGAATAATGTAAATAGTGTACATAATACCTCATCTCAGAAATATAGACAGATAGTTTTTATTATTATTAATCAGTGCAGTAAGACTCTAAGCACTAGAAAGTTCGAAGACACTTTGTTTGAAGAAAAAGAAAAGAATAATGTTCCAGAATTTTCAGAAGCCCCGCATCCAACAACAACAACAACAACAATAAAATATCTGATTATCCCGTTAAGAATTACCCAAGGTCGTGACATCCCACACAGATATATACTCATATTTATTAACATTAACGTTGTTTAACACACGAAAAGAATTATCAGACACCTGTAGTAGATGAATCATGTCAGGAGTTATCAGAAGTCCTGAATTGAATTTAATGTCTATAAGGAACTTTTGTTCTAAATAAGTTCATCTGTGATGACCCTAATATTTAGCTGTCTCAGAACAGACTTTGCACGCAGTGTCTTACTGGAGTATCGGCGAAAACAAGTAAGAATTGAATAGAATATAACCTCTTTGTCACCAGATACAGATTTCACGCATCATAGGATATCAGTGACTGTACTCTACATGTAAACAGAGGGTCGACCCAGTTATGTTTATGATGTTCACATGCGAGGCAACCTGATAACAGGAAGATATAATAGCGTTCACTCTAGAGGGTAAATAGAGCGAGAGATAGAAAGAGAGAGTCACATATTTGCGAAAAGAAGAATCCATGGCAGGAGGTGAAGAGACAGTAATTTTATGCATGATTTGCTCCTGTGTTCTTATTAGTCTGTACAAAGATGACATTACACAGCCATCTCACTACTCATTAGAAACGTTTAACCAGATTAAGTTGTTAACCATTACTCCACCACGAGGCACACTTCTGAACAGCTATTTTCTGAATTTGTAATTAGGAAATGTCCACAAATAAAAGTTCTCGCATAAAGGAAGAATATCCAACTGTTTCATAAGGAAACGCTATATATATGAGATCAAAATTCAGTTAACAAACAGGAATCACGGATGTTGTTAATCGAATTTTGATGGCTCGAATGTATGTTTTAGGAAGTTACCTTTAATCCCTATAACTATAAATCACCTGAAGAATAAATTACTTGTATATATACAGATACACTACATACGCTTTAAGTTTCACGTTTCAATGCACTCTTCAGGCTTGATCAGAAGAACGCATTAAAACGTGAAACTGACAGTTAACATGCTGTGTTGATACCCGTATCAAACACAGGCTACATTTATAAACGCTCTGTCTCCGATATGAAGCACTGTCTTTTTGTAAATATAGCGAATTTAAATTATATATATATATATATATATATATATAACTTTAAACATTATTTTAAATAGATGCCCATGTTTGAACAGACGTCCTAAATACACTAAAAATAACATTTGAAGTAATAACAATGTCGGATTATACATATAGTTTTAGAATGGATAAATGAAACGGCCAAATATAAGGAGGTGTGTACGCGTGTGCTGGTGTGCATACGCAGGCAAACAAATAAATAATCGTTAAATTTATGCATGAGGTGTAAAGGTAATAGTTTTCAATACCGTTATACAGAGCAAAGATATGTATATTTAGTTTCGCTGGGCGGTGTTCCCAGTTCGTCCGGCACAGGGTCTATATATATATATATATATATATATATATATATATATATATATAAGACAAAATGAAATGATGCTTTTCAACCTATGAAGGACTTTATCAAGTCAAATGCAAGCATTTCATTTTGTAAAAAGGTATTTATATACAAGAGCAAAGATATACTCTATCTGAAATTTTTATACACACACACACACACACACACACACACACACACACACACACACACACACACACACACAAATATATATATGTGCAAATATATATTTATGTGCTTGCATATTTAGGTTATATTGTATGCGTGCATATATACAGTTGTAGCTATATCTGTATATTTGTATATATACGAGGAGGTGCTGAAAAAATTCCACTTCTGAAACTTTTACAAATATCTTAACATCAAATTTTGAGTTGGAAGAAATCCCTTCTTATCCGGGTTGGACACTTTTCAGCACCCCCTAGTGTGTGCATGAATGTGTCTTTGTAACTTTGTGTGCACAGATGTACACATTCAGTGATTCCTATTAAATTTAAACTTTTTTACTACAAATTGTTTTTCTTCCTTTTTTTTGTTTTATCTTCAAAATTTATTTTCATTAAATATTGTATCATGCAAAATAAAATTGGACTTCAGACTAACACTATTCGTTTTTAATTATTTATCACTCATTTATATCCCAGTGCGATGTTTCAATTTAAAAAAATATTTAATAGCTATCAGAATGAACGAAGTTCTACTCTCACTGTTATTCGATACCCCACCGGCAACCTCCGAATTTTAATAATAATTGCTTTTACATTATGGTAATTGCTCCTTGAGAAATGATCAGACATAAAGAAAGTAATTTATCGGACAGTGCCTCTCAGGTAAAAAAAGTAAACAATAAAATAAAAATAAGACATTACTAAATATAAAAATGAATATTGTTTCAAAAGACAATTCTACCATCATCAGGAACTTTTAACAAAGCTGCTACCATGAATCATAGCGACATCGACCAAAGGATATATATATATATATATATATATATATATATATATATATATATATATATATATATACAAGTTACAGAGAACTCATATCATTTATGAATTCACATGTTTAAGGGACTGCGATCTGATCAAACCACATTCATGAATAATTATATTGGACATACCACCACATGCTTATCAAGAAGACTCACGTTACATCTATATGACCATAGTTCAATATGAACTCATTTAAACAGTTACGAAAACCTACGAAACTCCATCCACCAATTACTTGTAGAAAATACAAGTACAATAGCCTTATACGCATGTAAAAAGATTAAAAATAACGGAAGCACTAATAATAAAAAGAAAAAGCCAACACCCTGTGACATCAACTATGCACACGGCCACAATGTGCTGACCATGTTAAAATAAAAACATTCCCATCATTCTAGAAACATATATTAAATCTAAACATTCAGTTAAAGATAAAACGCCAAAACATTCTTGATAATGACTAATAGAATAGCTGAAAGCACTTGGATATATAGAACATTTGGACAGTTTTTATATACTTTATGTCCAGAAAAGAAAATACTTATATGAACACAAGAAAAATTGAATAAAAAGCAGTGTCTTGGCAATAGGCTTTAATGGAACTTGTATAAATAAATAATTTTTTATCCGCTATTTTTTCTTTATTAGTATAAACGTATTTGAGTTGCTTTCTTTCTTAAACCTTGAAATTAATACCTACCGGCCTAAATTGAGAAGTCCTATTAAAGAAAGATTGTTCCACCGACAAGAATCGAACCTATATCCCCTTTTCCACCAGGAAACCGTTTCCATAGTCGAAACTTTCTGAATCTATTCATATCTATCCATCTATCTATTTGAATATATATTTGGATAAAAATCGAATGGATCGTGATACAAAAATGTAATATGAAAAGACAGGCAAACAGACACATAGATAGATAGATAGATAGATAGATAGATAGATAGATAGATATGAACAGACTGTAATAAATATGAACAGTATGAGATATATACATGTGAACAAACTGTGATAGATATGAACAGAATGAGAACGATATGAACAGAATGAGACAGATAGATAGATAGATAGATAGAGAGAGAGAGAGAGAGAGAGAGAGAGAGAGAGAGAGATATGAACAGACTGAAATAGATGAAAGATTAAGATCGATTTCTATCTTTATAAGTGTTCATTTCTAACTTACCCTCACATCATCCCCAAACTAACCTCTCCTTCACTTTGCTTTTGAATTGCTTAATTTTTCTCATCGTTGTTTCCTTTTCGTATTTAATCCTATTTACTGACCACTTTGCCTTCATTCCTTCCTTAGAATTTCTCATAGTTTGCAATTCATTTTCCCATTCATTCAGAACAATGGATGTAAGAAATAAAAGTATAATAAATTATATTTTTTCTGAAAAAAAAAGAAGAGAGTAATAAATGCTATGTCTCTTGAACTGGCTGTCATGTTTGAAATGATTCAATTTATTCAGTAATCAGCAGAATTGATATTTATAGTGTCAACCAATCGATCTACTTACAGACCCCAATATAACATGGAGGGGCTATCATGTTATAAATGAATCGTCTTAAAGCAGAAAGGCATATATGCCCGGGGGTGGAAAGTTCTCAGCCTGACTTAGTCACCAAAATCTAAACAAATGACCAAAAACAATAATTCTGGGAGGAATCTCCTCATGGTTTCGACAAGAACTTATCAGCATTGTATTTTATCTTAATTTATAAAAAAAAAAAAGTTTTTTTTAAAAGTTATCCTCTATTTAATACGTCTGTGGGTGACAGGTTGCATGTCGTTTGTAATCAGACGGACATTTCTTTTTTTATCTGAGATATAAAAACCTTGGTAGATTTTGATAAATCTCTTTTCAAACCAAAACGAACGAAAATCCTATCATTCTGAATGCGAACTCGTGTTGTTATTTTATATTAAGATTTGGGATTTTGTTAATATTTTCAAAGACATAAAATTCAGTTTGTTTTAAAAGTGTCAATGTGTGGATTTTAAAATTCTTTGATGTGTCATGGAATGGAAAATAAATGTCGTCCTAGTAAGTGAAAAATAAAATAAAACAAAATATTTAATAAGATATCTTTTTAAAAAAAGGGAAATAAAGTATATGCTAAAGTAAAATTGATAATCAGATGAGAAAGCAATCGAGAATAAGACAGAAGAAAAAGAAAAGATAGCAGACAGTCAGAAGTAATGATGAAAAAATTTGAAGGATAATATAAAGGAATGAGTTCAGCAATTAAGAAAGAAAGAAAGAAAGAAAGAAAGAAAGAAAGAAAAAGAAAGAAAGAAAGAACGAAAGAGGGCTTGAATAGAAAAAAATATTAACAAGAAAAAGAATTAAAGAAAATGAAAGACAAACAGAAAAGTTAAAAGAGAATAGAAAATAAAATCTGAAAAAAAGTAAGTAATAAAGAAAAACGTAAGTAATAAATAAAATGAGAGTAAGTAAAGGAAAATAAGAAAATAGAATAAATGAAGAATTGAAGTTAAAGAAAATGAAGTAATAAAAAAATATGTCTGAGAAGAAAAAAGAAAATGAGAAAGAAACTTCGAAAGAAATAAAGCAAACAAAAAAGAAATATACCAAAAATGAAGGAAACGTCGAAAGAAAGAAAGAAAGAAAGAAAGGAAGAAAGAAAGAAAGAAAGAAATTAAAAGAAAAAAAGACAGCAAGAAAGACCATGAAAGCAAAGAAAGTAAGCAAGCAACAAAGATAGAAAGAAAGAAAGAAAGATAAAAGGTATTAAGGGCATGAAAATGAAAGAGAAAAACTTAAGCAAAAACAAAAGAACGAAAGAAAGAACGAAAGAAAGCAAAAAAGAATGTAATGAAGAAAGAAAGACCAATAAATAAATAAATAAAAAAAAAGCAAGAAAGAAAGAAGAAAGAAAGAAAGAAAGAAAGAAAGAAAGAAATTAAAAGAAAAAAGACAGCAAGAAAGACCAAGAAAGCAAAGAAAGAAAGCAAGCAACAAAGAAAGAAAGAAAGAAAGAAAGAAAGAAAGAAAGAAAGAAAGAAAGCAACAAAGAAAGAAAGAAAGAAAGAAAGAAAGAAAGAAAGAAAGAAAGAAAGAAAGAAAGAATAGCAAAAAGATGGAATCTCTTCTTACAGCTTCAGGCGAAATAGAAAGCTGAAGCTAATCAGGATAACCGATTAATGTCATTAATCCAAAGTCGTTTATGTGTTGTTTGTACCATTTCGTATATTTAATGTATCGTTAACACTAACTTGGAAATATGCAAAATTGCTTAAAATAAATTCACTTCTCGCCACACCCCACCCCAACCGATTATAAAAAGATTCATTTTATTTGACATCTACTGCTTATGGAAAATAAATTTATTTTCATCTTTTGAATAATGTTTGCTGATAACGTCAATCTATAAATCTCCAAGGCTTTGATCCTTTTCCAAACTGTTCAGTAGTTTTTTATATATATATTTTTTTATTAATTTTAAAATCAGTTATCATGGTTGAGATTTTTACTACTACTACTACTGTTATTTTTTCTTCTTTTTTCCTAAGTAGCTTAAAGAACACTAGATGTCCTGTTAAGTAACATAACGTTTTAAAAATTTCTTATCATTGATAACACTTGAGATCGCGTGAACGCACGTATACGCAGACACACACACAAGCATGCACACACATACATACAATGTCACAATATCACATTTGGACACTTGAGTTGAATTTAAAGAATGAATCTTAGTATAATATTAAAAAAAAAAAAAAAAAAAAACAAAGGTTGACCAAGCTTTAACTTTGTGTGATGAATCTCAAGAATTCGGATGACAGAACTTCTTAGATGCGAGAGAGAGAGAGAGAGAGAGAGAGAGAGAGAGAGAGAGAGAGAGAGAGAGAGCGTATATATATATATATATATATATATATATATATATATTATATTATATTATATTATATTATATTATATTATATTGAGTGCATCTTAGTTTGTTTTCCAACTTGCCAACGCATACCTTTGAAAAAGTGTTGGTCGGAAAGTACCTAAGGTATAGCATGACGTTCGTTATATATATATATATATATATATATATATATATATATAAACAAATACTTACTTTTATATATATATATATATATATATATATATATATATATATAACCAATACTTAGTGTATTGAGCACTTTGCTTAGTTACTTTTGTTTTACTCGTTTTGGAGGGTTTTTTCTATGGACACTGATCTTGTATTCTGGACGATTGTTTTCGCCTCAATTTCATGTTCTTAGTTCTTTCTTTTTTGTCCCTTATTTTTCCGTGGTTTGTTCATTTACAAACGATAACACCTAAGGTTTTTCCAGACAGTATAATTACTTATATATATATATATATATATATATATATATATATATATATATATATATATATATATATATATATATATATATATATATATATATATATATATATAATAGATAGATAAATAGATAGATAGATAGATAGAAAGAAAGAAACAGTGTAGTTAGCGAAGTCAACAGTATATGGCACCAATGCGCTATTAATAACCATAATCACGATATCTCTGTTATTAAGTACTCTTTCCTCATACCTACAGCAAATTTTATACAATATAAAACACAGACACACATACACACAGACACACACACACACACACACACATATATATATATATATATATATATATATATATATATATATATATATATATATATATATATATATATATATAATTAATTTTTTATCCCTAATGAAATAAGATAATGACAAAGAAAGAGAATTAGAAAACTAAAACTTTCTCAATGAACAAGCTATAAGCACTTTTTAGGTAAAGATATATCAAACATTCAAGGTAAACCGTAAAATCTTTCGTTGAATATATTCTTATGTATAAAATAGGCTTTAGAATAAGTCAATATCGACATTCCAATACATACTTACTCACAATCTAACATACATGCATACAATTATACATATATGCATACACACAATTTGGCATACATACATAAACACATACTATCATTCATATATTCATGCATACATGCATACAATCATACATATATACATACACACAATCATACATACGTACAGACATACAATCGTACATACTACAAACTTTATTTCTAGTGGGTACACATATCTGTTTTGTCATCTCTTTTTTATTTTCTCTTTATTTTCGAACTTTAGAACAAGAACTTTCCATATATATATATATATATATATATATATATATATGTATGTATGAATGCATGTATGTATGTATCCGATGCAATGAGAACGAAAGTAATATATAAATTCTAACGTTCACAGCATTAATCCAAAAGAGGGCTCGATACCGATAGTAGAGTGATAATTATTTATAATTTTATCATATAGACAAAAAAAGTTTATATCAAAACTTATTTTCTTGTTCTAAATTTTGGAAATCCTATGCAAGTTTGAAGGCACGTATACACATGTATAAACACGTGTCTCCTTTCATTCCTATATTCGCATATAGAAACTATTTTTATTTCAGGTTTGTCACTTTTGGCTGTGAGCAAGATCTAATTCAGAGTAAAAATGGTAACTCTTTCCCTTCTATCTGTAAATATTTTTCCAAGCGAGGAAATAACATACTAGAAATTAATTCATTATGCCGCATGGCCCACATATGTGTCACTGATAAAATAATAATAATAATAATAATAATAATAATAGTAAAGTTGTCAGAGTTGACAAAGTTAACTAGGCCGCTGCTCTTAAAAAGGACTTCCAATCAGTGGTTAACTGGGGCAGGAAATGGCTTGTAAATTTTAATACCTCTAAAACTAAACTGCTCTCATTTAACCACCATAAAGAAAATTTCCTGCCAGCCGTCTTGGCCCCAAGTTTTCAAATGACTTGTAGTGAAACGACTACATTGAATCAATACCTGCATCTACTGCAAGGAAAGTTGTATCTCTATGTTGTGCCAAAAGGTTTTTCTTGTCAATGTCCATCTTGCACATTTACAAATTTACCATTCGTTCGTTCATTGAACACTACTGCCATATCCAGTTTATTCATCTCCATGTTCATGACAAAATCAAAAGAAGGATCTGATTTTGCATCTCGACTTCAGTCACTTTTTCACCGATGTGATGTGGCTTACTTTAACAATTTTCATGGCAAATGCTCTGACGAGCTTTTTACCCTGGTGCTTGGACTACATGAGTTTAAGCGTACTACTAGATTGGCATCTAGGTCCACCCTTTTACTGTTGAAATAGTTAAATGTAACTACTACTTCTACTCCAACAGTTTCTTTTCTCGCACTTCCCCCGCCTGTGGAACTTTATTAAGTTTCTTTGCTTCCCTAATACCAACAGTCTTTAAAAATTTAAATGCAACGTCGTCATCTATCTTCTTGAACCCTTTTCATCTTTTATCCTTTTTTCAATCCCCCATATATACCCAGTCTTTTCTCTCATTTTCACTCTCTATAACCCCTGCGTACTAGTGGCATTCCCACCTTGCTTGCAATGGAATGATTAGAAAAAGAAATGGAATAGGAGTAGATAGGTTCGCCTATCGTCCGATAGTCCGTCTCCCAGATCTTTCGAATAGTAGTAGAAGTGTATCCATTTTTTCTTGTTTAGGATTGGAATTCTGATTTCTCCTAAAGTATTCTCAATTTTCTTTCATTCTCAGTAGCCGCTAGCGTCTTAGTAGTATTATCGCTTTGCTTGAAATTATTAAAAAAAATAATAATATACATTCGAGGCCTTAAGACCAGATCATGTTATCGTGAACAAGAAGAAGTAAATTTGTCAGAAATAAGAACGTACTAGCAAATATTTCAACAGTCAAAAGGTGAGTACGTTGGGAAAACATTAAAATCTTCATATTTGAATTATACAGCGGAAAAAAATGCCGTAGAATAGATCGGCCGAATCCTTGTGGTAAAAACAAAATCAACAAAAAATAATGAGATCAATCGTTTGAACAACTCTTGGAATTAATATGATACATCTTGAAATTATAAAAAGTATCTTAATAGCGCTGAGGAAGACCGTAGAATAGATCGGCTAAAATATTTCAGTTACAACAAAATGAATGAGATCATAGTCCACGTGGCATACAAATGACTGAAAATTAAAGAAAGTATAATTAAGTAATTTTAGAATTTCAATAATAATAATAACAATAATAATAATGATGATGATGATGATGATGATGATGATGTGTTAACCTGGATCTGTACGGGACATACAGACAGGACCTGTACGGGACATACAGACAGGACCTGTATGGGACATACAGACAGAACCTGTATGGGACATACAGACAGAACCTGTATGGGACATACAGACAGAACCTGTACGGGACATACAGACAGGACCTGTACGGGACATACAGACAGGACCTGTACGGGACATACAAACAGAACAATCAAAGCTAATCGTTCAGACATCTTGATCAAAGACCACAAGAATAGAATGTACTTTTTTTTTTATTGACATGGTAGTTCCTAAAGATTGTAATGTATTCTTTGAAGGTCTTCAACAAACTATCAACATATAAGGATCTTAAAATGGAAATCTCAAAAATGTGGAACATGAGGACATCAACAATTCCTGTTGCAGTTGTAGTTCTAAGATTAATTGGAAAAGGTTCCTTTAGACTCATTGAAGGTAATCCTGGTAGTTCATGCCTTAAAGAAATACCCCCTCCCCCAAAATCGTACTCACAAATACAGCTCAAACATTACGAAAAGCTTTTATTTATGTAAAATGATTTGATTTATATATATATATATATATATATATATATATATATATATATATATATATATATATATATATATAAATGATCAGTGGAAAATGTAATGAAGCCATTTCTGAGCATCGGTTTCTGGTAGGGACCCGGAAGGAAATGTGTATACAACAAACGTGTATACAACAGAAATCAAAAGAAACAACAAGAACATCATCATCATCATCAAGAACAACAACAACAACGACGACGACGACGACGACGACGATGATGATGATGATGATGATTTATTGCTATTAAAGTCAAAATAATCTTATTTAATATATCCAGACTGAAGATCACACATAAATAAGAAATATTTATCCGAAAAATCCTTCAACAAATTAAA